CTATTGATATATGTGAAATAATGAATGTATATGAAGGAAATCTGAGCAGATTGTTATTTTAGCAAAATACAGGCTGAACAAGTGAATTACATGAAACTACCTCCTAGCTAATTATGCTAATTTCCTGTAGCACAAAGAGTAAACATTTGTTCACAAATCAAATGCAAAAATCTAACAGAATGATGTTTGCAGCTAACCTCATGAGAGATCTCCTGGCTGTTACAGCTGCATGTGAGTCGTGCATGATCCGCCCACTCGTCGAACCGCACTCTTTGGTATTGAAGTCCCCGGTGCCGAGAGCAACCACCTCACATCCACTGGCTAAAAGGAGAGAAGACAGTGAGGACAGTTGTTTTAACAGCACTTCACAGTTCACAGCAACACAACTGTTTAACAGACTGTATCACTTCAACGTTATTTCTGTATTTCTGTTCTTGTTCTCACAGTTGTGTGAAGCCCACGTTTAGCGTTATGAGGCATGGAACCCAAATGTTGCTTTCCTATATAGAAGTGTGTGTAATGTTTGAGGCTGTATAATAAATTGGGATGTGGTTGCATTTGACAACATAGTAAATTTAAAATATCCCAACATGTCAGTCTCTTTCGTTTTATTATCTGGCTTCACTACGTTATGCTGAGCTCACTTACAAGTCTGAATGATGAACGCTGCTGTGGTGCCTGCACACGCAGAGAACTCAAGGTGACTGCTCATCAGTTTAGTGAGCTGATCCCTGACAGCGTGAGGAATCTGGAGGTTGACACAATTCCTCCTCTCTGAAGAGCAAAAAGATGATAAAGAAAACAATAATCAGCAGGGTTGGATTTCATTAGACTCCCAGAATGAGAAAGACACGTAGAGAGAGATGTACATTCTTCTGTGGCACATTGTTTGTACTGCATCTCCTACACTTCCTTTTTTTCCTCCTTTCAGTAATGAGAAATTTAAAACTTACACAAATCTCAGACATGCACTACAGTCAGGAGTTTTCCCTGAAATTTTCTGGAGGGACTGGATGTGAGAATGCAAATGTCATAGTCAGTTGCTCCAGACATTTTCTGGACGTTTTCCTGCCAGTCCCCTCCTGCTGCGTTCTTTATATGTAAAAAAGGCAAATTCCACAAAGTGTCCTGACTTAATTTTCGGGATATTCGCTAAAAATTCAAGTATGAAAACAGCTTAAGTGTCGGCACTTCTGTGTTTTAATGTAGAGTGATATTGAGCGAACAGAATAAAAACTGTCCCAACTTTTGTGGTTGCAGTGGATGAGGTCTGTTAATCCCTCTGTGATGTTAGTAAGCATGTACTATCAAAAGCTGACTGATGATTCAAAGACTACTATATTAGGGTGAACTGTAGGGCAATGTCACTGTGTGAGAGAACTATAAAGAAATCCAGTTACCATGATTGGCTCTACAGGGATAGACATCAGAGATGGAGGGCTCCTCTCTAACTGGGAGGAGTGGAGGGGCATCTGAGGAAAGATGAAATACATGCAACACTATTCAAGAGTAGCCGTTAAAAAAATACACACATTTACACAAATATAAAAACATACATATACATATATGTTGCACAAAGGCACTGTATAAAGGTTACATTGATGATTAATGTTTTTTGGATTATTGTCTCTCCATTATTTCCTAGTAGTTGTGATCTGAAAAGACAATCCCTTTCAAAGTATTTCACACCCAAGGACTTTTACCTCTCATTTCCCTGACAACAAGGTCTACATGTATAAATGACATTACTGCATATTCCTGAATTTTTGGGAGGCATTTGCCCAAACTTAATGAGTATCTTAAATCTGCTACAGAAACACATTCATCATTTAGCATCTGGCACAGACCTGATGCCTCAGGAAGGCCAGACTTTCCACTTTCCAGAGTGGGCAGCAGATCCTGTAAAGCGAGCTCTGCTGCCTTTAGCTTGGCATTCTTTTTGGTTGTTCCCATGCCCGTCTTGTACTCAACACCATCAATCACAACACAAAAGGCAAAATAGAGCCCTGGGACATTGCCTGGGAAAACAAGAGTTGATGTATTTATGTGATGCAAATCCTCAGTTCTGGCTGTGGATAAATTGTTTTATTAGGATGTTTTGGATGAACAATGTAAAAATGTGCAGCCGGTTTTATTTCTACAATGTTATTAAGTATTGTTATATAATATGATTCACAAAAATATATTTTATATACACAAATTGTGCACACTAATGAATTTATAACAGTCCACTGAACATTTTTCATCAAGATCAATGAATTATTCTCTGAGAAATCAAGAAAAATACAGAAGACTTGAATCTGGCAATGTTAAATAAAAGTGACAAAAAAAAATCCTTGATCTGCATCCAATATTTATTGGGTTCTTCCCTGAGCCATACGGCATCCTTACTCCAAGTTTGGGGTAATCTTTGTGTAATGTTGCTCATAAACAAACACTTAACAAAAGATAAATTCATTGGTGGGGGTAATCTAGTTCTGGCTTCTCACTTGGTAGGATCTGCCATCTACTGTGAGAAAAACCTGAACAATAATCAGGTCTGGACAACACAGAAAAATCTATGTGAGGTGCTTTTCACTATTTTCTAACATTTTACAGAATAATAACCAGTTCTCCAATAATGAAAATAATTCTGTGTAGAGCGTGGGAGTTTTACCTGTCGTCACTGTTTCTTTTATTTCCATGTGGAACTGCAAAATCTTTGCCAGCTGATGAAGCAAGCTCACAGCATGGGTCTCACCTTGCATGTATTTGTCAATCAGCATTTTAGGTGATACCTTTGGCTTTAGATCAACAGCTTATTTGGGGAAAGAAAGTATAGAAAGGACGGATATGAATTAACAGTGATATAGCGTAGTCAATTTAGTATGCCAAAAAAAATACAAACATTTCAATTGCATGCGTCAGAAACACAATCTTACAGAGGATGAAAGGAATTTGGAATTTATTAGCTGGGATTCAATTCTTTTAAAATCTTTAAAAGAGAGACTTACCAGGTTTGAATGTATTTTTCACTTGTTGGTCGAAGATATCTTTGCCCGGACCTTCCGGAGTTGAGAGAGCAGACGGATATTTGTGTGGTTCAGTCAGTTCTGGTGTCGCAGGCAAGTTCTTCATGAGAAGTTGGGCAAAACAGGCTCCTCTGGAACCTCGAAGTGAGCCACGAGATGAAAACATCCCGAGGGCTTTAGTGATGGCTGGATTGATTAACTAATTTAAAAAAAGAAGAGACTCTTGATGCACATATATCAAAAAAGGCCAGAGGTTTGTTATGGCAATACTGGGGATTTTTTGTTAAAGATGTAATGATATAAAAACATTGTTGGTGTGCACTTCCAAAATGTTTCCACTGCTCAAACCCCAGGGATATGTTTGATTGTATTGTATTTATACATTTAATGAATTTCAGGGTTTCTTTCAATGACATCCAGTGACTGACCCCAGCTGTAACCACTAGTGACATTAGTAAGTGCTGATCCATTCCAAACTACAGTCAATTCATTTATTAAGCTTGCAAAAACCAATTAGGTTTAATACATCATCCTCCCTTTAGTAAAACTATGTTCAGTTAGTGTTGAAATTCTTCCATGAGGCGTTGGTTCAACTGTATGATGGGGCTATGACAT